ATAATTAATTGGTAATTAGTTTTGTGACTAAAAGAGATTAATTAAACTTAAGGACTGGAATTGTAATTATAGGATAATTGCAATTTGGGCCATGGATTGCCTTGTATTAAGGGATGGACGAATTCTAATGGGAAACCCATAAGGAAATCGTCCATGGGCTTAATTAAAGGAGTCTATGGGTTGCTTAGGGCTTAAGCATCCAAATTAGGGGTTCCTTGTTAGATAACCCTAATAGCCCAACTATATAAAGACCCCTTAAGGCTAAAAAAAAACGTGGCTAATGTTCTTGTAAGGGTTTGCACACGTTTTTGGCAGCCTCCATCCTCTCTCCTCTTCATCCTCTTGCTTATGGTGTTTGTGAACCATTAGAGGAGTGACACTTGTGACTCTAAGCCTTCCAAAGCCAATACAAGGAGGAATTAGGTTTGTTATTGCTACATAACAATCAAGGTATGATCTTAAACCTAATTACATATTAATATGATTACTTGTATGTTAGAATTAAGGTTTATAGTCTTGGATTCAAAGCATGTTCAATAGAGAAACCTAGATCCAAGCATTAGGGTTTGTATGAGCACATAGGATGTCTTATGACTAAAACCCATCAATAAGGCTATACAATTTACAAACAACACACCATGTAGCTCCACCCTTAGAACCACCACACCTACACCATGTAGCTCCACCATATAGCTCCACCCTTACAACCATCACACAACCTTCATTTTGAAGGCATGGTGTGCCCAAACATCCCCCCCCCCCCCACACACACACACACATATATATATATATATATAAAGAGTGAGAGAGAGAGAGAGAGTGTGTGTGTGTGTGTGTCCAATGTCTTTGCCTTATTCAGGCCCCAAGCCACAACTACCACTAAGCACTGATATGGTCACATCACTCCCCCGGGTATGCTCAGTTGTTATAAGTGGTGGACCTTAGTGGAGCCCGGGGGGTCCCACGCTACTACTCCGATTCCAACACGTAGTGTAATTTTTTTTATCTGTTAGGTGCACCGGCTTAAAATACGAATGTCACTATTAATTTAGATTTTTCGGAAAAAAAATTTAGTGCTGCCTCTATTAGAACGTTCTGCGTCTACCACCGGTTGTTATATACCTGATAGCTATTTTTTTTTAACCTTTTCTCTATTAAATTATTTATTAAATTATTCATGTGGGTGTTTCTTAGAGCTGGCAATCGTGTCGTGTCGTGTCGGGTTCGTGTCGTGTCGAAACACTAAACGGGTTGAAAGTGCTTGAATCTAACCCGAACCATTTGATTAACGTGTCGTGTCGTGTCAACCCGTTTATTTTCGTGTCGAGTTCGGGTTAATGTTATAGCTCGAAATACATCGTGTCATGTGAGGTTAAAAGATTGAGCATGTTGAAAGAGTAGGAGTTAGGTAGGCAGAAAGGAAAAGCTAATACTTTGGAGGCAGAATAGTTGAAGTCATAGTAAGTTCAAATGACAAAACTAAAAGAGTGGGAGTTGGAGAGGCGGATAACAAAGGTCATGAGGATGCGAGAGTGGTGAAAGAGACTATGTAGTTTAGGAGAGAATGAAAAATTGAAATGAAGTATTGATCTAGATGACTAAGTCATTTCAACATTACAAAACAATTTAATTCGAAGGCTTTCTTTTACTTATGGTTTTGATTTTGTATCTCTCTAGTTTATTTAAATAATTCAAAATATTTGCATATAAATAAACGAGTCATTTTCGAGTCATATTCGAATTGAAATTCTCAACCCTAACCTTACCCATTTAATTTTCGTGTCGTATCGTATCAACCCGTTTATTTAAACGGGTTAAAATATCTTACTTAAACATTTTTATTTCGTATCGGGTTCGTGTCGAGTTTCGTGTTGTGTCAATAGATGGGATGTACAAAACAATTGTCATGCATCTTATAGAAGGATTATAACATTACAAACATCGAGTGGATTTGATTATTATTTAGCTAAAATTCTCGGATTATTATAACATTTTGGTACTTTTTTTTAATCTAATAATTACTATTTGAAGAAAAAGCAATAAACTAAATAATTGCATGATTTAATGTCAAATCAAATTCTTAGCTGTGTCATTTATAAATGGTAAATACGACAAGCATACGCAATCACTTTTCGTCTGAAATTCTCCCATAAATGGCTGTATATTTGAATCTAACAAAGACTTAAAAGCTTGCAAACAACCAATTTTTATCATCAAAACCCTCAAACCCTGATTCCTGAAACAAAAATGTTGTAAGAACAGCAAACATCTTCGTCTTCATCTTCATCTTCATCTTCCTTCTTCCTTCTTCCTGTTTCCAAACCCTAATCCTCCAATGCGATCATTTAACATTCCCAAACCCATGATTCATCCTCAAGGAATCCACCCCTGTTCGTTCTTGAACCCTAAACCTAATGCTGATGATATATTAAAGCCGATGTCACCATTAGATGTCGACCCTTGTGCAGCTTCACGAACTGATGTCATTACATACACAAACACAAGTGATTTAACTCCATCTGAACATGTAAGTACCTACGCTCTAAGTTCCATGTCTTTTTTGTCCCCTATTAAGAATTCAAAATCGTGATTTTTGCGAAAGTCCCTTCGCTTTCAGTGGGGCGACGACGGATTTGTACCTCCGTCACCATAGTTCATGGTTGTAGGGCCCACCTTACTCATTTTTTAGTCCATTGTTTATTTGTTGTTATTGTCAACGGATGAAGTTTGTAAGCTATACAGTTGGATAATTGGGTTTGCTTCATGACGATGAGTTTGTAAGTCTGTTTCAGTACTTTCTTTTTTCAATTTCATAAATAATTAATTATGAGTTCATTACGAATCTTGAATCAATTTAATATTGTTTTGTTACTCGATAAAATGGGAATGGAAATCATTAGCGATCTTTATTCAGGCAGGTGGAAGCTTCACTGAACCTCCAATGGCGCCCATGGCTTCCAATTCCCCTACAAACTCGGAAATTAGTCCTCCGCAGATCGTGAATGACGTTGTAGAAACAAAGATAGATAGTAAAAACTCGCAAATCATCCGTTGTGAGATCTGTAATGTATTCTGTAACAGCGAGGAAATGTTAAGGGAACACAAGGAAGGAAAGAAGCATTTAAAAAATTCGCAAAAGCTCTCTGTTTCATCTTCGATCAACCAAGAAACGCCACCACCGGTTGCAGACGCTAATTCTTACCATGAATCCGATAAGAAGAAGAAAAAGAAGGAAGATTTCTTACAAAATGCACCCTCAATTGAATCTTTGTTTACTTGCACCATTCCTGATCTGGTATGCCATGATCAAAACATAGATACAGAGCATCTCCATGGTGAGAAACAAGAAACCCAGGTAACAATTGAACAAAATTACTGTGTTAACTGTATAATTACATCCTTTTTTGAAAATTGATTTATGAAAATTCGTTGAAATCAGGTAAACAATGGTACTCTGGTTCAGTCTTCCAACAATGGCACAGAGAAAGTGGAAGAAGAAGTTTGTAAAACAGTCACTTGTAACAGCGAACAGAAGCTTCTAGAACACAATCCAGCGACAAATCACCTGAAAAACCTTAAAGACTCAGAAAAATTACAAACCCCACCATCGACAACGCCTACTGCTTCAATGGCGAAGACACCAGTTTCCAAGCATGTGGAAAAACTTGAGGATTCAAAGGACGTTAAGTTTCGATGGTGTGAAGTTTGTAAGATCGATTATAGCAGCGATACCTTCTACAGGCATCTGCGAGGGAGGAATCATAAGAGGAATCTTCAAGAATCAAAGAAAATGACGGGTTTGCCCTCGACCCATACTGATTCGGGGAAGTTGACCAAGGGCGAAGTTGTAAATCCAAACGAAGGAAGCTCTACACGATGTGAACTTTGTAAGGTTTGTTGCACTTCCTATGGTGAGCTCCACAGGCACCTTTCAGGGAAGAAACACAAAAAAGCCGAATATAAAACTGGAAAGCGAATGAAAGGAGAAAAAATGTTACAGGATTTGATGAATGGAGAGGAGGGTAAAGTTGTAATTTTGGAAAAGGGTAAAAGGAAAGCTAATGACTCATTAGCAAGTGAAGAGGATGGAGATGTAAAGAGGAAGAAGATGATGAAAGAAGGGGGAACAGCATCTTGTGCTTCGATAACTTGTACAGTATGCAATGTGGGTTGGACTAGCGTGGTGGAGTATATGGATCATCTTAAAGGACAAGAGCATTGTGCCATGGTTTTGAAACAAGTATGATAACATGAATGCTATAGAGAAAGATATTAGTAATATAGCTATTTAGAAAATAGGCTTTTGAAAAAAGTTCAAATGTTAAAGGGGTTAATCTCTAAATGAGTAACGAACTATTTTTATTTTATTTTATTTTATTTTACAAACGGTTGTTTTAAAAAAGGGATAATGATTTAGGAGGGTAATAAGATTTTCAGCTTGTCCGTATTAGGTCACTAAGGTTTTTTTTTGTGCATATTAGATCAATATGGTTGTTATTACCGTTTAGAAATAGTCATTTTACTGTTTAAAACCGGTAAAATGATTATTTCTAAACGGTAATAACAACCATATTGGTCTAATACACACAAAAAAACCTTAGTGACATAATACGGACAAATTGGAAACCTTATTACCCTCCTAAGTCATTAACCCAAAGTATTTAGAAAACATGCTTACTAATCAATGTGACTGATTTGTTTGACTGAAAATAGTTGCTTCTATTTAAACTTATCTCACAACCCTTCCAGAACTTCTAAGTCCAAAAACTCATATGATTGATGATCTTCATTACATAAATATGCAACATTTTATCAATAACTTCTTTTTTGTCATTTAAATGTTTACATGAACACATCCATATGTACAAAAACAATCTCACTTTGATACCTTCCATTAATGTCTACATTTGATAACGAATGAAAATGTAAAACCAACAGGAACTTGCAGAGGATGTCTATTATCAATTATTTTATAAAAAGCAAAACCACAACATGAACTAAGAAATTGAAGTTGCAAAATGAATAAAAAAATCAACACATAAACAAATACATACATATTATATACAACCCATAAACGGAAGTTTATAAAGCATGAAACTTAATGATAGGAACAGTAAAAAAACTTAAAGGAGATTTTATAGAAAAGAAGGATCACCCTTACTTGCCACAAATGGTTAAAGACATCAACAAAAATATCAATTTGACCATGGAATCCATATGTTGTCTGATCATGACTTTAGTAGATGAACTACTGAAACGTAAGAATTGCAATTGAACTCTATTAGCATTTGAAAAGGGAATTAGGGTTCCAGAGAAGACGACGAAGGGTTAATTTTTTTTTTGGACCATTTCTTGATTTGTGTGTGTCATCCTTGCGCAGGGCCATGCTAATCTTCTTTGAATCGTTCCAATTTTATCGGATGTCTCCAAAGGGACGACTATAGATGAAAAGTTTCGCCATATAGAGGAGTAGCAGGTTATATGGGAAGACGCGAGTTCTAAACGAAGTAGTTTACTGTTGATGGTCATATATTCTCAATGTCTTTACAAATTAGGGTTAATGACTTAGGAGGGTAATAAGGTTTCCAGTTTGTCCATATTAGGTCACTAAGGTTTTTTTTTGTGCGTATTAGATCAATATGGTTGTTATTACCATTTAAAAATAGTTCTTTTTACCCGTTAAAACCGGTAAAATGACTATTTTTAAACGGTAATAACAACCATATTGGTCTCGTATGCACAAAAAAAACTTTAGTGACCTAATACGGACAAACTGAAAACCTTATTACCCTCCTAAATCATTACCCCTTTAAAAAAATGATGTCAGAAGGTAAACTACTATAATGTTGTGCTTAGAAAATATCTTGTAAACATAACGTTTTAGTTGCTTACATTTAATACTAACTTTTTTAAAATAATGATGTTTTTTCGTTCGTTACTTGTGATATCAACCCATATTAGTTGTATATGTCACTAACTTATTGAAATTAAATGTTGTAAGATCCTTTCACCTACTAAAACAATTAAAAATAGATAGTGTATGGTATTATGAAATTAACCAAAGAATGAAATGTTTGATTTCATTGGAATTAAAAAAACTTTTGTTGTATTATCGGATATAATATTTTTGAATGAAAGTAATTTATTTTATTTTATTAGTTTTTATTGTTTTACCTGCTAAATCGCATCCTGATTGGTGGGGGAAGTGTTTGATGGCTGCTTGGGCTTAAATTGATTTGAACAGGTCGGTTTCTTAGGATCATTATCTATGTAAAAGATTTGGTCCAACTTCCAAGGGAATGGTAGTACCGAGTCACCACTCTCTATTCAACTTTTTATTTTATTTTATTTTACTTTATGCAAAATTCTTTTCCTCACAAAAAATTATATTTCAAAACTAGAAAAGTTTTGAACTTTTTGTGAGGATAAAATGTTTATGGCAGTTTTGAAAAAGCTTTTATTTAGTAAAGTTTTGAACTTTTTATGATGATAAATGTTTATGTCAATTTTGAAAAAGCTTTTATTTAGGAGATAATTTGGCAAATGATCATAATTTATAATGATTTTGAAAAAAAACAACCACAAAAATCAATATTTCAGAAAATGACCAAATGTTCCGCTGAGGGGGTTTTGCGGAACCATAAAAACCTCTGCGGAACCCTTAATTGTTCTGCGGATCGATAAAAACAACGAAGAAAAGGCATTCCTCACTACTCAACTGCGGAAGGAAGGTGGAGATCTGCTGCGGACATCGACCTTGATTGAAACGAACAAGAAAATGTCAAGGAGCTCGATTTGTGGAGCAACTGCACTCCGATGTGTTATCAGATGGATATGGAACTCAAGTAATTTTTTTTCCTAATTTTTGTATAAGAACTCGAGTAATCTTTGTAGAAATCGATTATATGATTTGGAAATTGATTGGTTAAATGTTATTTATAAACATATATGTTTGTTGGAGTGTAAGAATTAGAAATAAGAAATCAATTTATGCAGAGGAGGCCTTGTTTTCGTCAAGAACAGATCCGCAGAGCTCCTCTGCTCAAGAACAGATCCACAGAGGAGCCCTCTACGGAACGATAACTGCCTCTATGGATCTATTTTTTTTTTGATTTTTCTGTAATTATTATCTCTTAAATAGACCATTGAATATTGAGATCATTTTATGTTGATTATATCGCATATTAAAATTGATTTCCAATTATTTATGTAATTAGAAAAAACATTGAAAATTGAAATTTTCTATAATTATTATTAAAATGGACCATTTATGTAAATTTTATAATATATATGAGACCATTTTGTAAAATTCTGTAAATTTGTTATAAAAAAGGGACAACTAATTTTAAAAGATAACTATTTACGTAGACTATTGTATAAAAGGTTATAGAATAAAAACGATATTTTTGTTGCATAAAATTGTTAAAAAAACAATATATCAGTATTATTTTGTTTAATTTTTGTCATACATGTTTAATCTTTTGCAGCATAGTTTACGTGGATGGCCTGCAGAATGTACTTTTAGAGGGGCGTTTGGGACTGTGTTGAAAAAGTACATTCCAAAACTAAATAGTAGGCGACTTGAATTATTTCGAGAGACAACTTTTGGGATCTTCATTGGTATGCCCAAATCTGAATGGTGACTCGATGCTCTGTCATTTGATGATGTTGCATGAGGTTCGTGATGTAGAGGTAGCCAAGGCTGGGAGGTTTCGGTTCGAGTTACAAGGCAGGATGGTTGAATATGATGAAATAGAATTTTGTTTGATTACCGGTTTGAGATTTGGGCCGTATGTTGATATAATAAGTACAAAAGTCAATAGAAGTTCAACATTAAGGAATCGGTTGTTCCATAATGTGAGAGATGAAGATTTACGGCTGAAAGATTTAGAAGACTACGTAAAAGGGCCAGCATTCTCGACGTATAGCGATGAGGATGCGGTAATGGTTATGCAAATGATATTTTTGTTGAGGGGTCTCATAGGACGAGACGGCAATACGTGCATTCCGTCGGCAGTGTATGAGCTAGACGATAGTCAATATAATTGGAACAAGTATTAAATTTATTATTTATTATTTATTTATAAATACTTGATGATTTATATTATTTATTAATGAGTAGGACACATTTGCATGGGGTACGTATTTGTGGAGGTATAGTGAAACACAATTACGATTATGGTTTGGTAAAATCTCTAGATATTTACGAGATAATGAGGATGAGGGTTACACGAAGACGATGAAGTATACTGTTCTAGGTTTTCAGTTTCCGTTTAAGGTTAGTTTTAGCTGCAATTAATTGGTATTTTTTAAGTGCTTATAAGTTTGGACAAAACATAATTTTTTGTCGTAATAATAGGTATGGATTTTGGAGACATTTCCTGAAGCTTTGAAGTTTGCGCATCACGAAAAAAATGAAATTCCAAGAATGAGGGCATGGAGAATAAAAACACAATTGACTCTCGAGCAATGTTTGCGTATATTAGACGTTTCAGTGGAATAACTATGCAATCCTTATATTAAATATATATAGTTAAAAATTACAACAATTTTATATACTTAATTTATATTAATTTTGTAGGATAATAACATCCCACGTGATTTTGAACCAACACCTGTTGAGATCAATTTGCCATTCTTTGTGCGTTATGTTAATTGGACTCTAGACAAAGTGCAATCGCCACCGCAACAATAGAGTCCTTCTAAGAAGCGTTCTCCATCACCGCAACTAATGAGTCCTCCTATGCAGTGTTCTCCATAACCTTGGAATCAGTTTCAGGGAGCAGATTACACCTCAGCCTCTCATTTTTAGGAAACACCCCACGGACCTGTAGAAAACAGTAAAATAGACAAGTTATTTTGCGTTGTTAATAAATTGAAAACCACAATCGAGCACTTTGGGAAGAGAATCGATAATTGGGAAAAAGATAAACAATTTGGTGTGAACGATATGGAAAATATGGATGCGGGGGAAGATTTTTTTGGTGGTTTGGGTCCCGAGTCAGGCCATACATACGTGCAGACGCCACCGCCTATTGTTGATGTTGAGGATAACACAGCTACACTAATTAAAGGGCGGATAAAAATGAAATCGAAATTTTGTAAGGAGCCTTACACACAGGTATAAAATTAAGTAATTTCTATCTATATAGTATATAATCGTTCCAAATTAATTAACATATTGATTTTGTAGGTTCCTCCGACGACGGAACCATTGAAGAACAGAAAAGGGAAAAAAACACAGAAGGAAAATAATGTAGCAAAAAGACAATTACTATTGAATAATTATGCAGATTGTGATGATGAATTTTGGAAATTGTGGGGAAAGAAGATGGGGGCGGTATTTGTGGAGCATAGACTTTTAAGAGGTATTGACATGAATTGGGAATTTTGGTCTACTTTACTTGGTATTGGCTCTAGATGGTTGCTCTCTCAGGTAACGAACATCCCTTATTTTATATTACAAAAATGGTTAGATAATTAATTGTTCAAAATGATTTTTTTTCTAACACGCAACATTTGGTTATCTGGTCATCGCTGCTCAAGGAAATAAGTCCGTCGAATTGTAGGTGGACGATTATTAATCCTGAAGGCACAACTTTGGAACCTGGGAAACAACATTATTTGAGGCGTATAGCAGCCGGGATGGTTGATGGACCACATTGGAAGGATATTGATCGGGTAAGTATATATATATATATATACACACACACACACACACACACAAACATTAAAATATGTATATATCTAATATGTTATTATTTTTTTGAATACCGCAAACTGCATTGGTATTTGGCTGATTTGGATCTCCTGACATGGAAAGTGACCATATACGATTCAGCTGAATGGTGTGGTTTCTTAAAAAAAAATTCAGATGACGGTAGTTTCAAATCGTTGGGAGATAGTATATTAAGTGAACTAGACCACATATCATATTGGGCCCATTTTCCCAATAGACAAAAACCTACTGAGGTGAAATTCGTTAAAGGTAAACATGTGCCGCAGCAGGAACAAGTAGAAGAAGGAGAAAGAGGAGATTGTTGAGTTTTTGTTTGCATGTTCATGGAAATGCTTGCATTGGGTGTACCAGTGGAGACACGTCAATCACCTAGAGATATGGGATTTAGTTACCGTAATCGGATGACAGAAATTATTTGGAATACTAGACTTTGATTGTGTTATTTGGAATATTAGACTTTGATTGTGTTATTTGGATTTACATATAGGTACACCTATTAAAACAAAACAAACATGAGATACCCAACTATTAGAACAACTACCAACAGCTTGTACATATGTATGCTCTTCTTGGAATCACACATCTCCTTCTCCATGCTTGCCACTACACTCTTCTCCTTACTCAGGAGAAACTCCAACTCAACATTCTTATTCCTCAAGTTATTTCTGAAAACAAGATCCTCTTTGGAATCCAAATGTTGCTTCATGGAATAGATGAGGTTTTTGTAGTAACCATCTTCAAGTGCAATATCTTTCCATTCAAAGTAATCACATTTCCTCAGCCTTATCTGTATCAAACCCACATGAATAAAACATCAAAACACAATGACTAATCACCCAAGATGTATTTTAAACAATCGCAATTATATATGTATATTTAGAAACGAAGCTTACCAAGCTGCTGTTGTAGTTCCAAAAACGTATGTCGGGGTTAGTGAGTTTCCATCATGTTCGTTCCTTAGCCGGAACATCGCAATGAAAATTGTTAACATCGTCTTTAACAAATACGCGAGCAACTTGGAGGTGGTTTCTTACATTTAACGAGCTCATAGACATTGTGTTGAAGAATCAAAGTGGTAAGAAAGAAACGAATGAGGTCCAAATTGGGGTTTTTGACACATCACTTAAGAACTGTTTTCTGCGGATCATTACACACCTCTGTGGATCAGTGCACACCTCTAAGGAGCAGTGTACACCTCTGCGGATCTGTGTACACCTCCGCGGATTACCAAACAACTCTGCATAATAAGTAATATAAAATCACTTTACCATGCGTATCCTTTCATTGATTATGTACCATTTCTTCTTGATTTCATTTTTTTATTTTTATAAATTAACCCTTATATTTTTCGCCATAATGGCTTCCATACCATGGAGCGTTGAGGATAACCCCCGTCTAACTTGTGCATATATTAATATCCACGAGACCACCAGGGTGAATGATCCAAGTTATTGGATGCGTTTAACTTACGCCTTCAACGCTGACCCTCAAACTGCCCCAGAAAACTACCGCAACACCATTGACATCACAGCAAAATGGTATGAATTAAAAACAGAAGTCTTGGTTTTCAATAATCTTTATACCAAAATTGATGACGCACGTCCGAATGAAGATGAGGAAGTCATCCTGGAAGCGGCTAAAGTGGAATACATATCCATTAGTAACGGGTTAGAATTCGAGTTTGAAGGGCCTTGGAATCTATTAAAAGATCTCCCGTATTTTTAATTTGTATTGGGTTTGTAGAAGGATAATTTAATGTAGTTTGTTTTTATTAGGTTATTTATATGCACCGGTTTGTATTACGTTATTTATATGTATTTGGTTTGAATTAGGTTATTTACGAAACCAGTTGAGTTAACTTCTACATTATTCCATAGAACATAAAATACAAAACAGTATAAATACATGGAAAACATACATCAGTAGCAAACATATTACATAAAACATTTCACATAAAAAACCCTTCTATATGAAATACTGGTGGTTCTTAACTAGATTCCAAGCGTCCACATACTCGAAGTCTTTTCCCTCATGCTCGAAAATGTAATGATCTAAAATCATTTCTACAAGAGCATCCTCGTTTGAGTAATAATAATTACTACTAATTTTAAGATGATAATACCATCGACTGAACCATGTGATTTCGTTCTTTAGCTCCATCCACTTACTAAGAATATCTACTTGTACCCGATATTCTCCTTGTCCAAATGAGAGGTTGAACATACCTGTTATGCGGGTCCATTCATCACCTCCAACGTAATCAGGGGTAACCATTGTTGTTTCACCTTCAAAAATGTTCAACCAACATCATATTATAACCATCACCTCTCTTGTCGTCCATGGACGTGGAATATCGGACAACGATGTTGCATTCGTAGAAATTGGTGCATTGTAGGTCATTTCTATATTTTTCAATACTTGGGTGAGTTGATACAATATTTAACAGGTATGAAAATTTATACACTGATCTGTAGAGGTGTACATTAATCCGCAGAGGTGTACACTAATCTGCTGATAACAGTTCTGTGGATTCCCAAACAATTATGTGGACTGATATCGAACATAAGTTCATTATTTTTAACATCTTTTATCAAATTATTTACATAATCACATAAGGTATTAGTGTATTTAAAAAAAAGTAATAATAAATGAAAATGAACGAAAAAAATGAAAAAAAATCAAAAAAATCAAAAAAATCAAAAAAATCAAAAAAACATCAATTCCGCAGAGGTGTAGCGGATCCCCAGAGCAGCTAATGGATCCGCAGAGGGTGCTCTGCGGATCCTTTGGTCATTTTACAAAATCCATTTTTCCTTGGTCATTTTCTTTAAACAACCATTCCTTTTTTATTATATCACAAATTAACTCTTTATTTAGTGTGCTCTACACAAATAAAATCATGTGATTGAGTAAAATATCCATCCCATCAATGAAAATTTTAATTCCGTTTATGTTTATTTATTTTCCTCCAGATGTAAATTTTAAAAAGAAATATCACTTATTATGCTAATTAACTTTTCAGTTTTTTCACATCTAGGTAATTATATATATATATATATATATATATATATATATATATATATATATATATATATATATATATATATATATTGTACACATAATTGTCATATAAGAACACTTCCTACAACTTTTGAACACGTCCAACAACTTCGTTACCTATATACCTACAAAAAAATAGTTATTCAAAAGTAAGAGTAAATTACACGAATGGTTACTGTGGTTTGGGGGGATTTGTATGTTTGGTCACTAACTTATTTTTTTTAACTTGGATGATCCTTACTATTTATTTTTGTTGTGTGATTGGTCCATGTTTTACCTAAAAAAGACTATTGTGCATTTATTAATTTATTATTTAATTAATTTTCTTATTTATGAATTTGTTTTTATATATTTTAAAAAAAACTAACAGACCCTAGATATTTGTACCTCCTTACCCTAAACCTAAAACCATATTTGAAAATTTTTAATGTGGCTCCCATCGGTCACCACCCCATCTTTCATCATCCTCAACTTTTATTTCCTTCCCATCTTCAGTGACATCGATGTCTTCAACATCCTTTCTTTTTTCGGTTCTTCAACTCTAGTGAACCAACACCACAACTCACTGTCCCTTCATCTTTAGTGGGTTGTGGTGTTGGATTGCCGAAGTTGACGGACCAAAAAAAGAAGGGATTGTGAAGACGTCGATGCCCACTAAAGATGGAAGGAAATAATTTTTGAGGAGGATGAAAAATGGGATGGTGACCGGTGGGACCCCGATTAAAATTCCCAAATATTGTTTCAGGTTTACGGTGAGAAGATATAGATATATAGGGTCTATTAGTTTTTTAAAATATATAAAAAATAAATACATAAATAAGAAAATAAATTTAAAAAAAAAATATGTAAGGGCACAATAGTCTTTTTAGGTAAAACGGGAACCAAGCACGCAACAAAAATAAACATTATGGACCATCTGAGTTAAAAAAAATATAAGTTAGGGACCAAACACACAAATCCCCCCAAACCAAAGGGACCATTCGTGTAATTTACTCTTATTTTTCGTTGTTCACATCTTGATAACTATATTTTCTTTTTACACATCTAGGTAACGAACTTGTTGTAAGTAATCACATATGACCATTATGATTGTTATAGTAGGTCATAACAGTTATATGTGAACATTTCCAACAAGTCCGTTACCTAGATATGTAAAGAAAACATAGTTACCCAAATATAAACAAACCGAAAAGTTATTTAACTTAATAAGTAATATTCTCATTTTAAAAGATGTCATTCTCTTTTCTAACTTTTATATTAAACTCTGATAATTAATAATTTATTTGAAATATATAGATAAAAGATATATTTACATTCTTAATAATGAACTTCTCATTAGCATATCCTTAAAATTAAAAATAAAGACCGTCATTTTTTTAAAAATTCTTTTAAGTAATTTTAAAACATATTTTTATCTTTTAATAATTAACTTCTCATTAGCATCTCCTTGTAATTAATTATTTATTTGAAATATTAGGATCTGCCGATCTGGTTAAAATTCCAGATAAAAAGTGACCTTTTTTTTGCTAACAAATTTGAGTTTTGATATAAATAACTTTGTAAAAATTTGTGTTGAAATGACATCGCACATTAATCATCACAAACCTTGTTTTATCTGTTAGGCTCCATTAGAATGGATGAAAAGAATTTCAATTATGTTTATGAAGTTTTTATCATCCAAAAAGTTTTTTTTAGCATCACCACAGCAACGCTAATTGCTTTGGATCTAAGTTTTTCTCTATTGAACATGCAAAATGAATACTAAAGCAATGAACCCTAAAACTAGCATACACAATTCAAAAATCATATTAACCTTAGGGTTTGATGATTACCTCATTTGTTATATTGTAATAACAAGTATAATCCTTGCTTGATCTTGACTCTTGAAAGCCTAGTGCCCCAAGTGTTGCACCTCTAATGGAGTCATAAACAATCACTGCAAAGGATGACTTGGAGAGGTATGAATATCGGGCAGGGTATGTATTATATGCATAGAGTCGATTTATCTATGTAGAGATTCTTTAAATATCTGTGGCTGCTAGGGTTTTTAGGTGTAAACCCTAATACCTCAGTTAGGCACCAAGTTTCCCATGGACTCACTCCTTAGAGCCCTTGGACAGAATCTCTAGGGCCTCCCTATTGGATTTCGTCCCCTCCACTTTATGGAGTCCATCAGTCCAATTATGCAACTATCAATGATTTGCACAATAGTCCCTTTATTATTAATCAGTTCCTTTAATCCCAA